AGAAAGAAGCTGTCCCCAGGGCTTTCGCCATAATTATCTCTAGATAAGAGCTACAGTGGAATCCAAAACTTAAAATGCCACTCCCCAAGGGCAAATTTACCAGAACACAAAGTGCCCTCAGTCAATGACAAATTCAAGGGAGGAAAACTATGCACAGCACTCCCATGGCACAGTAATCTGCAGGGTGAGGGTTGTATGGCTCTGGGCTTGCTTTTATTTATTTATTTTATTTTATTTTATTTTATTTTATTTTAAAGATGACCGGTAAGGGGATCTCAACCCTTAGCTTGGTGTTGTCAGCACCACGCTCAGCCAGTGAGCAAACTGGTCATCCCTATGTAGAATCCGAACCTGTGGCCTTGGTGTTATCAGCACCGCACTCTCCCGAGTGAGCCACGGGCCGGCCCTGGGCTTGCTTTGTTTTGATGTTAAGACATTACAAAAGGATGTGTAGTATCAGGCTGAATGGTTCCCCCAGGCTGCATGTATGAATTTGTCAGATTTTGACTATTTGAGTTATGCAGTTAACCCAGTAGTAAGCAGATGAAGATCACTGATGTTCTTCAGTTCCATGCCTGATTAACTTCATAAGCGACCCAAGAGGTTGTTATGGCAGTGGGGTTTAAAACTAAATTGAAGGTTTTGTTTCTATGGCATATGCATTTCATCTATGAATCTTTTTTTTCAAATTCCTTAAAGACAAATCTTTCCTAAGCCTATACATCAGTATGGAGTTCATGGAGAGAAATAAAAAATTGACAAGTATTTTCTAGACCAAACACAAAACAACACAGTATTGAATTTATGTCTGTTGGCAACATCCTAGATAGGTTATGACTTACTATTTTGTGGAGGCAGCAAGAGTTGGGGTGAAAAAGAATTCAAGTCAACAAAGATTTATCGAGCACCTACTTTCCCAACAAGATATTTTTATTACACCAGTCGCCCACTGTGCCCCCAGCTCACTCTGCTCATTCCTACCACAGAACCTTCGTGGTTTTTGTTTTCCATGACTAATCACTGTGACTGAGATTGTCCTACCCTCTCTTCTGGGCCTAAGTACAGCTCACCTGTCTTTCAGTGTTCAGCCCGAGTCCTCAGCCGCAATGCACTCTCTGCCTCTGAACACCGATGATCTGCTATGTATTTTACACTTCATCATTCACCACCTTGTACTGTTACTTTGTGCTTCATCTCCAGTTCTTATCTCTCTCCCATGCTCCATGTCCATACTGCCACCTGCTTACTGGAAATCTTCAGAACTGTCACTTGCTCACCTCCACTCAACAAATCCAAAACAATCCACCATCTTCAGTACCAACCACCCCCTGCCACAAATGCATACGTGCAACCTCCTTCTCCTCTCTCTTCTCTGTTAATGGAGTTCAGTGCGTATCAAAAATTTCCTATGTCTAAACACTGTGTTAGGCACTATGGAGACAGAAAGGTATACAAAGATAAATAAGCCCATCTTGACCTCCCTGTCAAAATGAGTTAGGTGTCCCTCTTCTCCCCACCACTTTCCATAGCACCCTGTATTTAGCTCTATCACTAAAGTTATCATACTATATTCTAGTGATGTCTTCCCCCACTAGACTGTGAGAATCATGAGGACAAGTCTTGTGTCTTATGCTTCTCTGCCTCACCAGCACCCAGGACAGAGACTGATATCTAATCATCGGAAATAAACCTTTGCTGGCTGGCTTGGTGGATGACAGTGCACGCCCTTAAAGAGCTCACCATCGAGCTGGACCCCCAGACTTGGGGTTATCCTCACCTCTTCACTTATCCTCATATGTAATTATCAGCAAGTTTTAAAATTACATTTCAACAGTATGTGCTGCATCCATCCACTTCTCTTCCTACTCAGTATCACCAGAGTAGTCCACACCACTATCCAGATTGCTGGATCTCAGCAGTAGCCTCCACTGGTTTACTGACATCCTCGTTGTTTATACCTGCCAGTTCTCTGCAGTCTATCCCCCACACTACCTCTACAAAGATCTTCCTAAACCACATGCTATTCTCTGCTTAAAATTTGACGTTGACACCCCTGTTAATGTAGCTGCAGCTCAAAGCTCCAGCCCTTCTCTTTACATGCCTGATTCTCAACCCCAATTATCCCACCAATCGCTCCATGCATTCCTACTTCCATACTTTAACTAACTCCCTCTGACTTTCTTCTACCAGTCAGAAGTTTCTTCCATTTTTCAAGGCCCAATTCAAGTGCTTTCTTCCCCCTAGGTCATGGTTAATCAAGTCATTATTCTACTGCTACAATAGCATCTTACTTAGATCTTTGTCTGTGTTACTCTGTCCCATCCTGTCACAGTTAGTTGTGTACACAACTCTCTTGACTACTAGATGGTAAGGTCCTAGGGGCAGAATCCATGAGGTACAGATTGTTACAGAACCCCTGAGTGCCTAAGAGGTACTCAGTGAACAAGCTGAACGGAATTTAATTACCTATCTCAAAACATTCATCCATTTTTAGAAATATTCATTGAGCATAAACAAACCAGAAAAAAAAATTCTGCCCTTGTCGTGCTTACATTCTAATGGTAAGATACAGATAGTAAAGGAAATAGAAAGTAAATGTATAGTATGTTAGGTGGAGTGAAATGATAAACATAAAATAAAGAAATAAATAAAGCAGGGAAAGGGGATAGAGACAGTGGGAATAAGGTTCAATTTTCTCCTGGGTGACCGGGGAAGGACCTACTATGAAGCTGACAAGTGAGCAGTCCTGAAAGAGGTGAAGGAACCAGCTGTGTTCAAATCTGAGGAGAATGTTCCAGAAAGAGGGACAGCAAGTGAGGCAGAAGCCTGCCTGGGACATGAAGCCAAAAGGCCAGTGTGGCTGACGTGACATGAATGAAGGGGAGAGAGGTCAGAGAGGAGGCCAGAGGGGCAAAGGGAGGCCACATCCTGGAAAGCCTTTAGGCTACTGTGATGACCTTGGCCTTCACTCTTTTTGAGATGCTAGCCATGGCCCAAGTTACTTGTTGAAAGAATCACTCTGGCTACTGGGTTTAGATTAGGTTATAGAAGTGACAAGGACAGAAGCAGGGACACCAATTAGAAAGCTACTGCAGTAAGCTAAATGAGAGATGCTGTTCCATTTGCTTCTACTTCTAGGCCTTCCCTGACTATGAGGCTCCCTGGACCAAGCAGCCCAGACCTATCCTTGACAGTTGGATTAGATGCTTTTAGGGGTTTCCTAAGTACTCAAATCAGAGTTGGAGCTTGCCATATGAGTCCTAAGCTGAGTCCTAAACCAAGGAGATTATAGGAGAAACTTGAAGAGAAGGGCCGGAAGACCAGGACAAACAGCCTGGGGCAGCCAATAAGGGAGTGGCCAGACTGCTACAAGGCATCACGTTATAAGAAGGTACATCAAACTGGCCGGCCCGTGGCTCACTCGGGAGAGTGTGGTGCTGATAATACCAAGGCCCTGGGTTCAGATCCGATATAGGGATGGCCAGTTAGCTCACTCAGTGAGCGTGGTGCTGACAACACCAAGTCAAGGGTTGAGATCCCCTTACCGGTCATCATTTAAAAAAAAAAAAAGAAGAAGGTACATCAAAGTAAGAACTGTGCTGTGTTGTCCATACCCCATGTCTTTCAACAATGCTTGGAATTCCCAGACAAGGCAACAAAACCTGTTCCTTTTAGTTTTGCAGATGAAGACACTGAATCAGGAAACAACATTAGAGTGAATCTGGAAAATTGTTTAGGGATCCTGATACCCAGATTATACCAATTGAAAGACATAGCAAGGAGTCAAAATTGCCTGTGAAAAGGAAATTCCAGGCCAGGCCTGTGAAAATACTTCAGAGCTCCACAGAAACTTCTCAAATCCCAGTCATTAAAAATGCTAAGAAGTCTACATATAAATATATGATTATAAATCCATTAGTAAACACATTCCATTAAGGAGATGCCCCCCCCCCCCCCCTGGCTTAACCCAACACAGAATACAGAAAAGTGTGTGAACTAAATTTTATCTTAAATGCTTTACGGAAATGTTCCTAACTGTGGTTATCTTGGGAAGGGGGTGAAGGGAAGAGGAACTTTTATTATCTGTATTAAATATTTCTGTCATGTTTTATTTTATTTACAGTGAGCCCATAATTTAATTAAGTACGTAATAGTATCCACTTTGAGGCATTCAGAAAGCAATGAAGACATCTACAAAAGAAATAATGCACTGAAGAGCTTACTGGCCATGGAACACTCAAAGGAGCCCTTGGGTATAAATATTTTTGAAAAAAATGAAGAGATGTAATAATGTGAATAACTGAACTCTGTTTTATCTGTATCGCAGCATACTTTTATGTATCAGGTTTGGGATTTTTTTTTTTTTTTCTAATACAAGCAGAGCCTACCTTCGTAAATAATAAAGGGCAATCAAAAAACTCTAAGAAAAACTACTGAAGAGCAATTAGATTTTTATTGTCCGGATATGATTACAAAAAAGAGTAAGCAACTGGTGGTACGCAATGAGTTAAGGGTGATCTGTTCAGAATCAAAGCAGCCAGACAGCTTCCGGCAGCCCTGTGATAGTTCTCTCTCACACACATCTCTGAGGCATTTCATCTTAGGTCCGCTTAAAGGGCTTAGGGCTAAAAAAAGGAAGTTAGCACATGGCCTCTCTTATTATTGTATTCTGCCATGGTGATTCTTAGAGTAGCTAGAAAGACTATGTACACGGGCTAGAATTAGTAGACATAAAAGGGCATAGCTAAGGTGGAACACTTGTCTGAGCTTTGAATTCCTTTGCTTTTTTAGCTTTTTGATGCCTCAATGTAATCTAAATACAACTTTGTTTCAAAATATCTAATCACAGATTTTTCCCAGTTCTGTTCTAGTCTTATTTTGACATATACATACAAGTATAAACAGTTTCTGTTAACCAATTAAAACTACAAGATTTTCAGTAAGAATGCCAAGAAAGTACAAGAGTCACATTCAAAAAGGCTTTTAAAAGCTTCACTTACCACTGGATTTAATTTCTCGAACATAATTACTAGGGAACCAGCCTGTTCTCCCATTTAATGTGCCTTCCCACCAGCCTCCTTCTTCAACTCGAGTGACATAAATAATGTCCCCTTTACAAACTGACAATTCATCTTCATTAGTCTGCTTAAAGTTGAATCTTGCCTTTACTATCAACTGGTGACTTCCATTTTCCGTCATCTCCTAGAGAAACAAAAGCCGCACCAGATTAAGGGCTCATCTAAATGAGGCAGGGGTAGAAATTATGTGGATTTCGGCAAATAAAGTGGTATGACCAAGGATAAAACTCGAGGTCGATCTCAGTTCTGAGGTTTTAACTTAGGAATCCATGAATGGGCCTCAGGGGAGGATTAATAAGCCCCTCGAAACTGTATTCAAACTTTTGCACTTGTGAGAATGTGCGTTTTGGAGGGGATCATAGCTCTGGTTCCCCTCCCCCCCAATTATCTAATGATACCCATTTAACTGAGCCAGGTAGCAAAGTAGAGTGATAAACTACTTCACTCTGCCTCTACCCAAACATAGTCCACATAATTACATGCCCAAGTTACTAAGAATTTTTAATTTGACTACAACTTAGTCATATGCAAAGATCAAATACCCCATAGTTACCTAAATCAGGAGTTCTTAACCTGCCATGCATGGATTAGGCTTAACTTTTTGAGGGTTACAGACTCTTTTGAGAGTCTAATAAGCACAACCAACAGATCTTTGTCTAAATTAGTTCATAAACATGGGCTTTTACATACAATTTGAGAGAGTCCAAGGGGTGGGGAGCTATAGTGTTCATCAGCATCTCAAAGAGATCTGTGATTTCAAAAAAGTTAAGAACCACCCATTTAAGTGCTTTAGAAGTAATAGGTCATGACAGCTTGCAGTGAGTAAGTGTCTTTTGACAGAGAATAAAGGTTTCACTCAAAGAGCAGAAGATAGGGGGTTTCTTCCCAAATAAAAACTCCCGATAAGACCAAAAGCAAAGACAACTGGGAGATCCCAATATAGAAGTTCACCATGGGCTGCTATTTAAAATTGGGTTTTACTCAATAGGAATGCAAAGAGAAAAATAAAGATGATGTTAATAATGAGGATAGCAATTAATATTTATTGATTGCCTACTATGTGCCAGGCACTATTTAGTTCTACTAATAAACAGAGGGGTAGGAAAAATAACAGCACACTGCCAGCAGGAAGGAGTCATCATGACTTACATTTGCGTAGCATTCTCAGTTAACTGACTTGCCCGGTTCTAGTAAGGTATAGAGCTGGGGCTTCAACCCCAGTTTTCTGACTCTTGGCCCCACATGCCTCTGATTTGTTCTGCTGGGCGAGCCTGAACTGCTGCTCAGTTTATAATTAGTTTTCTCGGCGATGCCCAAAACAAACAGGATGGCTATCTTAGCACATACGGAGATGCAATTGGGTTATTGATCTCATTTATGGATTTTTAGAACAGGCAGGGGGAATTGGGAAGTATACTTACCAATGCCTTTGACTGCCTTTGCAGCCCTGGAGCTATGGTAGAAACTGCTCCCTGTGGGTTTGTCTGAGAACTATTAGCAGCACTAAGAGAAGAGGAACGTCCACATGGTCTTTCTGACAGCTGATCTGTGAAAAGAGGAAAAGGCATGGTAAAGGAACCACTCACATCAGAAAAACATCTACGACATAATATTATCTTTCATGGGACATTATCAAAGGCATCCTGGCTATAATTCCAACTGTTATCATTACGAACATGCCAAGCGTATTTCATCCCTCCCTCCCTTTTTGGTGGCCAACTTTTTCTTAACCTTACTGGCCATTGCTCTCCAGTAAAATGAAAAACAGCGACAGAACCACATTTTCTCTTAACCCATTTCCCTACAACTCTTCTCTCCTGAACCAGTTGCAACAGTATGCCCTGTTATCTAAAGGCAGAACTATATTGGGTACCAAACAGCTGTTTGTGGCTCTTATTACTTTGAAATATTTCAAATTTCTCTCTTTGTTTTTTGGCTCATAACTCAGTGGTTCTTTTCTTACTCACATGTAACAATATATGTGGCACATACAATGTAAAATCTCCCTGATGGGTGGGGGTTGGAGGGACTTGGAGAGTGAGAACAAGAGAGAGCATGTGTCTGGAAAAGATGCAATCTTGATACTAGAATAAGTTTTTACAATAAATCAAACTCAGGAGTCTTCTCTTCCTTGAAACCTTGTGAAATTTGATCAGGCCAGAGCTGAGCTTGATGTTTTCAGTATGCTGAGAGTGTACTAAAGAGAGGAGCTGGCTTCTTGACAAATTCAAATGAGGGTTCTTTTCCTCTCCATTTATTTTTAAAAGATATAAACTGCAAAAGTCTAAAGCCCAAACATTCCCTAGACGACAAGCTCAGTATCCAAGTAATTTCCTTGATGCTGTGGGTTTTAACTTTCACCTCCTTGTATTTTTATAAATATCTGTGGCAAGGGAAGAGACTGTAAAACTTGCTAGGAGAGTTTGGCAAAGGAACGTATAATTTGTGTGGCATAATGTTAGAATTATACGATCTTCCCTGCCCAGAATTGGATAGTTGTCATGTGTGTTAAATATAGTTACTTGAATTAGCTGTACTTTCTGCTATACGCCTTGCAATAGCTCAAAAGCATTTTTTTCCAAATAGCAAAAGAACAACTTGGGGGAAGTATTTTTACATGTATCGCTATTATATGCAGCTCTTTTTCTAAAACTATAATTACTTGATAGCTTCCTAGATGCTCCATCCTATTTGGCACTTGATTATATTGTCTGCTCTTGTTCTCTAATTGTTTCACGTGGGTAAGTTGAGTCTCCCTAAATAGATGGTGATTTTCTCAAGGGCAGGGACCATATTGTCCACTTCCTTTGTAGCACCGGGCAGTGCTGGGCTCAAATCCTGTTGACTCTCTAACAGTTTGAGCAGCAAAAACCATGGTTGGACATAAGGGATCTGGAGTCAATCAGATGTGGGTTTGAATCCCAGTTCAGCCACTTACTTTCTAGTTGGGCAACTTGGGGGCCTGACTTTCCCTATCTGTAATACTCGTATGAACCTAATAATAATAGTAGCTACCCCAGGATTGTTTCAAAGACTGAAGGAGACCAACTATGGCTTTTCGGACAGCCGAGACCCAGGGTAAGGGTTCAAAGCCTTTTGACTATGATTAGTAGTACCCAGCTGTAGGTAAGTTACTGTATCACAGAAGAAGTGAAGTTAACACTCTGTTTATCATTGTTTTCTTCACATTTACTAGGATTTATATCTAATACCCCCAGGGTGGCGGGTGTTAAACATTTAAATAAAAGATATCCCTTTCACTCACTATGAACCTGAGGTTTCCTTTTCAGTGCAAAGTTACTGAGGGGTTCTTTTACGTGGACAAAGACATACGGAAAACTATGAGAAAAATATCTCTAGTGGGGAAGAGGAAGTGATGGTTGTATTTTGTAAACTTAATGAAAAAGGGAACTAGTTTTTTCCGTTTTGTTTTTGGTCTTGTTATACTCAGTTCAAGAGCTTTGAATGAAATAGTTTCTTGGTTCTTATGATTATACTAAGGGCATTAGAATAACATCTGTGATAGTTACATTTAAATCCTAAGCCATGAAAAATTAAAGCACTTAATGCTCATTGGTGTTTATTGGGGGGAGGGGGGAAATTTGCACCAATCGAACAATCCTGGCCATAGTCTGCTTCAAGAGTAATCAGAAACACATGGATGCAAAAAGTCACCCAGAACTCATAAATCACAAGTCCTGCTTACCTTCTGTTGCTTTGCTGACAGCTAAAAGTGTACTCAAAACCTTGGCGAAATTGACCCCTGAATAAAGGTCATCAGGATCAAATACCTAAGAGAAAGGAAAATTGAAACTGTAAGACACTGTAAGTATTCAACTCAACAAACAAAACTATCAAAAGGCCACTTCCTCCAGCTCTCAGGAGATAAAATGTAAAAGCCAAAACGCAAACCTCTGTTTACCTTTGAGAGAAATGAGAGCAGCAGCTGAGCCGTCTAATGACATGTGGCGGGCCATCAGTGAGTCAGAGCGAAGCAGTAATGGGAAATAAGAGCCAAGCTGAGAAGGCAGTGCCCACCGGGAAATGCACAGCACACATGCAGACCCACTCTCCAGACCCGAACATATCAATACTCTCAGCCCAGTTACAGGAAGTTCATATGCATGGATTACAGTTAATGCCCATCACCCACAGAATGTCCTCAACAGTCCAAAAATAGGAGGCAGAGCCCTCTTGACATGTTTTCCTCTTTACAGCTTATTCACGGTACTCGGTAGGGGCACTATCAGAACTGCCCTGCTCTGCTCCCCTTCCTCCCTGCTGCCACCACTGGACCCCAGCTACTTGGGATGCCAACTCCATGTTGCCCAAACTTTCTGCCCGGGTCTGCCTCTTGCTCCCAGCCTCACTGCCTGGTTTCTGCTTCTTGACCTTGCCCCTTCCAGCTCATTTTCTTGGCTTTGAACCTTTGCCTGCCTAAGCCTATGGGTTCTTCCTGGCCTTAGGTGACTGTTCCAGATATGACCTTTGGGCTTCCTGATACTACTACGCAAGTCTCAGCAGCAAAACGTTAAATAAATACATTTCATTCTCAACTATCATTCTGATATGCTACTATCCCTAGTGAAGATACCAATCAGTTGTTGTTGTTTTAAATGCCATAAAGTTGTGAATTTTAAAATGTATTTAATATACTAAAATGTATTGAGACTTCTAGTCTCATATATGAGAATACTAGAAGTATTCTCAAGCACGGAAACAATCTATTAATTTGCCAGTAAACGATGGAGATACGAGGGTACTTCAAAAAGTTCTTTGAAAAAAATAGAATTAAAAGATAATACAAATCGTTCCATGAACTTTTTGAAGTACCCTCATATACATATCTATAGGTAACCACATGTCTACCTTCTGGATGGAAATGCCTCTTCTAAAAACGTTTCATTCCAAGATGTCTAGAAGTCTCTTGAAGAAAACAGATTGCATCATTATTTCCCAAATGTGGTGATAGGAATAAAATGTACCTTTTCATATGGGATGTGATTGGTGATGGGCCTAAGATTTTGAAGGGTCTGTCTTCCCATTAGGTAGTGCCATTTGTTCTGTTTTTAATCTGCATATTTTCTGGGAGCCATGTCAAGACAAATTTTTATCTTCTTTTTGTAAATATTCTTGAAGACCTAAAATCTGTTTCTAGGTTTAAAATATAGAATATCCTTTTTTTTTTTTTTTTAAGTTGGGGGGGTAAATATAGATACATGCAAATATGAACCTACACAAGTCTACCTATCCTGGGATTCACAACTCTACTAATTCATTTAATCAATGAATGTTTTACATTCAAAGTTAAAATGACTAAAGGGCAAAATTGTATCTAAAAGTGAGATACTAACATACTTTTAGTGAAAGGGTAACGCTAATATTACTAAAGAGGTAAATGACACTATGATCTAAACACATTTCTGAATGCTACAATATAAAATCCAAAGTTTTCCAGGAACGAATTGACAAGAGCTCTGTTTTAGTTTGTCAAAGGCTGGGTGAACAAGATGCCATAGACTTGAGAGAGTGTATCTAGTATCCCAGGGGATCCCAGACTTATTGAATCCCCCTAAGGATTGATCAAGTGCAAAAGTGTTAATGACATCTATGCCAAAATGGTAGCAAAGCATAAAACTCACTTGTTTTTAGCCCATAATTCCTAATGGGAGTGTGAATATGTGTGTGCATGTGGGTGTGTGTATTGGGTGGGTGTGGTGGAGATGGGTAGAGTCTAAAATAATAAGCAGAAGTAAATATTAGCAGAATAAGGCATGAGAGCAAAAGCTGTGATGAACACCTCCCCCTTTTGTTTTGGTAGTCCTTTATCCAGGTTAATTGACTGCCCACATGTGGCAGAACAGGTATTATTCACTTGTACTGGTAATTTGACTGAATTTGAAAACAAATTAACTGATCAGAAAATGAAATGTGCACCAACAAGAGTCATTGCATCTGCTTGAGGGAAGTTGCTTAGACTGTACGCACTTCCCTTTTGAGAAAACCCCAATACACTTGACTTTATCCATGGACACTGTTTTCCTCGTTGCAAACCTATTCTGTAGCACCAGGAACCAGGCAGGAAGGAGTTAGGTTAAGAGACCTCTAGGGACTAGTAGAGAAGGCAATGCCTATGGATTATTATTTCAGAGCAGTTGGAACATCAGATAAAACCACAAACACCCTCTACCACGCCACACCCTCCTAAGCCCCAAATTGAATGATATTGAAATCCCACCCCACATCTTTCTTCCATGCACTTGAGATTGGTCCCCTATGAAAATGGAAATATTATTTGGAGGGAGCACAACACTTCCAGCCATTATCAGTCATTTATACCTTGGTGGAAATGAGAAGTGTGAGGCCAAATTCAGACATGATGTGGAGAAACACTAGGAGAAAAATAAGGAGAATCCCCCAATGTGGAGGGGGTCTGAGAAGAAAAGGAAAAGTAGATTATAGTACAGGCCATTTGCCTAGGACTAATCCCACTCATTTATGTATATAAAATGGAGAATCAATTCTTTCTGTCTGCAAAGCACTAGTACCTGTTAAAAGGATATAGAAGTTTGCCCACTTATGCTGCATGTAATTTTCCAAAGTCATTTTCAAAAAATTTTCTCAAAGTTAAAGTCAAATCATTATAAAATCATGATGATATTCATCTTCTAGTACCCAGTGTAAGCCTCACTGGCCTGTTTAGTGTCTTTGGTATGTGACTGAGTCCCAGATTAGCTGAACTTTCTTTATACCTATTTTGGTCCAGAAATAAACTGGTTAGTTCCAGTTGGATCTGTGAAGGTCAGATGACCAGCAGGATTCACTCCTGCCATTCATCTTACCACTACTGTGATAAAGACAAGAAAAAAAGAGACTGCTTCTTAGACTACTGCTAGATGGTTTCAAGGTACCACTCCTGCAATTGAATGAGGCAAGGTTCAAGTTTAACATCAAAAACATTTAATTTATTCTGGGTAAGCAATAAGAGAGACAGGATTAAACTCCATTTAAGATTTTTTTTTAAGTATTTACATATAGCAAGCCTAAGGCCCAATCCTACATCAGCAGATGAAACCAGACAAGACATTCAATTTTTAAATGTTTCCCCACATTTTTCCATTCTGGATATACACAATGATAGCAAAACCTATTTTCCATCCACTAAACACCAGGTGTTAATTCTGAATTGTTGGGGATCTGCCAGTATAAACTGCACATAAATTAATATTTTTATGGCTTTACAAATAGATCCTTTTAGAATAGTGTTCAGTTTCAACATGTATGCTATTTTATGACACTTTCCCTAAACTGAAAAAAGCAAGGAAGCACATGAGAAGAAATTCCCCCCTTTGTCCCATTCCCTCACTAAACTTAACAGTAGCCATTTACTGATTTACTGAGCCCCTGTTATGTGCCTGGCACCATGCTTGGAGATTATATATATACTGTACATTGATTATAATATTACTATATGATGATTATATATACTATTATATATATAGTAAGAATGTTTGTGTTCACCCCAAAATTCATACATTGAAACCTAATCACCAATGTGATGGTATTTGGAGGTGGGGCCATTGGGAGGTGATTAGGTCATGAGGGCAGAGCCTTATAAATGAGGCCTTTTATAAATAATGCCCTTATAAAAGAGACTCCAGAGAGTTGCTTTGCCTCTTCCACCATGTGAGGACACAGTAAGCAGGATCTCATCACACACTGAATCTGCTAATGCCTTAATCTTGGACTTCCCAGCCTCTAGAACCATGAGAAATAAATTTCTGTTGTTTATAAGGCACCCAGTTTGTGGTATTTTGTTACAGCAGCCCAAATATACTCAGGCATAAATTTTTTTCATTGCATTTGATTCTCCAGGAAGCCTGTGATGTGTGAAAATTCTTTCTCCCATTTCCTAGATGAGTAAACTAAGACTGAGAGTGCTTGAGTCATACAGCAAGAAAGTGATGGAAGAAATAAAAATACACAAGCAAGTGTTCTCAGGGGTGTTATAGCTCTGCATGCACACTTAAGGTTTCCATGAGACAGAAAAAAACAAAAAAGCAATCCGTGGTTTTATACACAAAAGAAGTCCCTTGCTGCTTTCAATACAAGTAGCATCTGCGCCATCTGTGGAGAGTTCGTTACAACCTCTAAAATGACTAATTCAACTAATTATGGCAAAGAGAAAATCTCCCATGTGACAAGACTGTCTTCACAGGGGCTTTGCCTAATTCCCATTTCAAGGGGCAGCTCTGACCAGCAGGCACTTGGCCACATTTGCCAGAAGCAGGGAAGGGCTATACAGTCCATATCTGTGAGGTGCTTGTCAGGAGGGGGTCCAGTCCATGGTTACAGGACCAAGCTAAGCCATCTGGGCCACGTGCAATAACATTCCTTGGCATCATGCTGTAACCAGTCACAGCAGGCAAGCCACATCCTGGTTAATAGAAGAGGCCATACTCTATTCCAGTTCCGAACTGGTAATGCCTTTAATGTCATGTGGCTTCAGTAACACCCAATCAACTTCCATTTAAAGTTAATTTAGGGTTTGGAGTGATCACAATAGACTCCATCACTGGACTAGCAGAATCTAATCAACTGAAAAGCAAGTGATTAAGTGGGACCACAAGGACATATAGCTTATGTTTCAAGCCCATTTTCTTAAAAAAAGATTCCAAATATTTAGGATCATTCCAGCTCTTCCCTGTTCTTATCGCTCTTATTGAACAAAATCTTAAATTAACTTAGCTTATCTTGAATCACATTCTCACAGCCTAATTCTCACAGCTGAGCACACATTCCCTAATTCTCACAGCTGAGCACACCGCTTCTGTTAACCCCTGAACTTTGGAGGAAATGTCATTACATAGTGCAGTGGAGCAAGCAAATCTGAAGCTGCTTAGTCATATTTCACTGGGTAGTACCACTCTTGGCTCTGCGACACGATCTCGGATGCTTCCACATAATTCCTACTAAAAGCAGTCACAAAGTCAGCAGCAAATAATGCCCTTAGCTCAGAAATTGGAAGCATTGCCCACTTGTATTCCACTTACTGGAATACAGTGGATGGTATTTGTGCCCTGCCTGGTTTTAAATAATAACTGCTCCTATTTGATATGGAGCAAACTTAAGAGAGCAATCCCTGCTCTCTGCTCCACTCTTATTTCCTCCATTTCTCTCCATTTCAACAATATAGGGAACAAGATCTGATTTATGCCTGTAGCTGCAATAAGTCAGAAGACCTTGACTCTAATCCCAGCTTTGTCACTGCTGAGCAATTGTGAGGACCTTAGAAAAGCAACACTTCTCTGTGACTCTGTTTCCCATCTGGAAAGTGAGAAGTGTCTTAGACCAAAGAAGCTCAATGAGAAGCCTGCTGGTCCATCATCGGAATAAGGGCTCTCAAAGGCAACATGTCGGCTGGGTCCCTAAGGTCCAGAATCTGGTCTTCAATTCATGAGGCTCTTGAGAATGGACTCACACTAGCCAAGCTCACAGACGGCCAATGCATAAACCAAAATGCCAATTTCTTAATTTTTCTTTAAAAAAATGAAGCACTAAGAGAACTGGATACGCCCATTTTATAGCCAGAGCACTCTCTCCCAATAGAGAAATCTACATGGTAAGCCAAGTTATAATTACAAATGTGTTGGGTAACACAGAATCAGAGCAAAAGGAGTCTGGGGCATCACTGCCTAACACAATTATTACCTGTTTATAAGTTGATTTACCAAAATGACATCTTTAAATGTCCTATGTATAAATTCTGGCTCTATCTTACTACCATTACATAGTGGCATTTAGACTGTGATTGTAGACAGATTTAACCATCCATGTTCTTTTGCTTCTGTGGATTTCTATAGAGTCACCTTACATAACTAATATGGGCTCCTAGATAACTTGAACCTCATAGAATCCAGAGTCAGGAAATTCAGTTCCATAGAGCTCCTATGATAGGAGCCAAGATCTGAGGTTTAATCCCTCCTTGTTCACTCCTAATTTCAAAGTCACCAAATCTACTTCCTGATGGCCACCTCAGGATCACCGTATCACACCTTATGACCACCATTCTTCCCTGTTAGCACACCTTTAGGAAAACCCACTTTCTCTACAACAGAGATTTATCTTTATTTGAGTATGAAGTGTTCAGCAAAGAGAGGAATGAATGAGAAATAATATAGGAATCTTGGTGGGGACAGTCGCAGGATTAAAAAGAGAGAGCAAAAGAGAACAACTGCTTTTGGATAATCTCCCTCAAAAGAAAGCAGGCATGAAGGAAAGAAAAAGATAAAATCTCTTTTATCAGAAGTGCTTGTCAAGCCAAGGACAGGAAATGAGAGGTCTGGAACCAGCTGCCTCATTGCCAGACTGCCATTGTGCCTTGTCCCTACACTTCCTTCCATGCTCCTGTCACCAGAGTCTTTGCAGGAGCCATACTGGCTGCTAGTATTGAGGGGTGAGGGTGGACATGTGATGCCTTGGCTGCTAGAGCATCTGTGTGCCAGATCTGGGGGTATCCTCCCTAATGCCCCCACCCCTTCAGAGAATGGGACTGACTTCCTAGTGTTCCAAATTGGAATGCGGAAAAGATTTTCCCAGAGACACAGCATCACACCTGCCACTTAGTCTCTGGGAGTTCTATAGTTCAGCCACAGTAAGTATTAAATAAGCTGTTGTGGGCCAGCCAGAAAACATTATCACTGCACAGAACCTTGTTTCTATGGGAAAATGTTACAAATGAACTTTTGGAAAATTGCTTACAAATGAACTTTTGGAGAATAATACATTTTTATATTGCACAGTGCCCAGACCTGTGTTCCCAAATCAATGTCCAACATCCTTTACACTTTTTTCTTGTCCTTTCACATAAAAGATGAATGAGTGCCCTAGACACTCAGAGTACTGTGTATTTTAGAACTCTCCGTGATGAAAGAATTAAGATAAATGTATGAATACTATGAAGATCTCCTCAGGAATTTCAGTAGTCTGAAAGCTCCTTCCCGCCTGTTCAGTGTCCAGGCAGGAAGGGACGAGATGCACCTGGGAAGAGAGAGCTCCCGCAGCCCTGCTTTCCTAGGAGCCTACTATAATTTAGGGTTGGAGCCCTAGAGCCAAGCAGAAGCAACTGCTACACTATGAATTCCATGTCCAGGAGAGATCAATGAGCCCCTGACAAAGATTAGGGAGAGACGAGGCCCATGACAAAAGGAGACACTGCAGGTGGCTTTAAGCAGCAGCTCGTCCGGTAGTATCACCCGTTGCTTTCCATAAAGTCCTCCGCTGACCTGCCTTCACGTTTCTTTCATCTGAACAGCTACAGCCTTACACTCTGTAGAGAGGCTGCACGCTTAAGCCCCCAATGATCTATCAGCGTACTATTCTTTATTTATTC